CCGTGCCTCAAGATGAAGAATCAAAATGTTGAAATTAAGACTACATGGCCCACAAAACCTAAAATATACACTGTCTGGCTTTTTCCAGGAAAAGTTTGCTGTACTTGTTCTATTAAATCAAGTCACTGGAACTGAGATGTTTATATGTTAAAATATGGTAGTTCCTCAAAAAAATAAATGCATTCTCCTTCCCATAAACTTAGATTACAAATTTAAAAAAATAGAGTGCCAGCTCTTTTTTCAATTTCAAAAATAAATCTAAGAATTAAATAGAATTGTGTTCATGTTTGGAGAGTAATACAAACCTTATTATCTCAAAATCAGTGGTTTTCATAGAAGATGAAGCTCACAACACAATGTTAAATTAAAGAAAGGATAATGAACCCTATAACTATAACATGGTATGTATTGTGTAAGTTTTATTTCCAGATACACACTGATGAATACATATTCATGTAGCAAAGGAAAACCCGGAAGTCAACAATGAGTAAGAATCTTTGGATTGTCACTCAATAGCTGATTTTTCTTTTGTACATTTCTGTATTTTTCCAGTGTTTAAAGACAAAATAGGGGAGTGGATTTAGCTCAGTGGTAGAGTGCATGGTCAGCACGCTTGAGGTCTGGGGTGCAATCCCCAGCACCTTTATTAAAAAGAAAAATTAAAGACAAAAGATATCATCTTGTTCAACATTTTAAAAAGACAATTGATTAGAGTTTATGATGAAATTATTCCCCAATCTTTAGAAGAAATCAAATATGCCCAAAACATCACACAGGGAATTGCTTCATCTAATTGCTCTATTTCTCATCCCCAAGGCGAGAGTCAACAATATTCTCCAGGGTTAAGCTCCCTACGGTTTTGATGGCATATAAACGTAACAGTCTGGTGTTAGGGGTCAGCTTTTTGGCCTCCTTTTCTCTTTGTCATCTCTGAGTTTATTTTTTAATAGATTAGAGGAAAAGGTCATTATTCCTGAAATATTCATTGCAATATACTGTAGATTTCTGTTCCTATTTTTTTTTCAGGTTTATTACTATACTAAAAATAGTTGAATTCTCAGCAGGAATTTTTCTGGAATCCATTAATATTAGCAAACAAACTCCATTAAATGAATAAGTCAAATTCTGCACTCCGGTGAGTTGATTCAATCCCTATTTCATTTTAAAAGGAAAATAGCACATGTGTAAAACTAACGGCCAGGTGACCTATTTAGTGCAGCTCACTAGAAGTATTCAGTTCCTTATCTTTCACCACATTTATCACTTACTATTCACCAGCCTACATCACTGAGAGATGTTTCAGTTTTTCTCAATTGCAATGTTCTTATCCTTTACTTTATCCGCACAAACTTAAATAACAAATAAGAATTATGTGTTTCAGTGTGTCTTTTGTGCTTATATGCATTATTCCCTGGAATGTTTCTCGTAAGGAAAAAGACTGAGAATGAGGCTCGTGTTTTATAATTGTATAGTTTCTGAAAAGCCTGTTATAGTACTGAGTGCATAGTGGGTCTACGATGTGAAAATCGTTCCAGGAGAGATGTCACTGGAAGGGAGAGAAACAGTGGACAGGACATTCGTGTTCTCAGCTGAACACGATTGACACTTCCTGGGGCTAAATGCAAGACTGTGAACATTGGCCCCAAGTCCACCGATAAACATGGAGTGCAGGAGGTGAAACGCAGAGCCACAGGTGTGGGGAAGATGTGTGCATGAGGAGGAACTGAATACGCATGGCGAAATGTCTTTATCTTTGATGGCGGTGATTTCCTTCTCAGTCCTGGCTACTCAGACTTTGTTTACAAGAGCCACAGGGGATGAACACAGATTTGGGAAAAAGTCTCTTCAGGTACAGAATCTGCATTCTGTGTTTGAGTATTTAAGTTTAACTTAAAACTCAGTCTTTTTAAAAAGAGTTTTATGTTAAACTGAAATATACTTTTAGGAAATCATAAAAGTGATGAGGGATTAAATCACAAGTGTCAAAGGACAGTAAAGGAACAATTGAAGAAGAAAAAGCAGAGCTATGTGAATGATGTCCTTCTGTATGTACAGGAAAACCTCAAGTGCTACATAGAGAGGGTTAGGTGTAATAACTGGAAAACAAAACAGTGTTTGATTTCAGCTCCTGATAAGGCAGGATTTTTACAGAATTCTGTGTGGAATGAACATCATTTATGCAAAGTGCCATTTTAGGTTTCAGAAAGATTTGGAAGTGGCTTTGAGAAGAATGAATTATAGCAAAAAATTACAGTAAAAAGAAAAAAAAAAGACAGTTGAAGCGTTTTGGAGGAACACAGGCCTTTTTAAAAAAAAGAATTCAATGCGTCCTTTTATCTCCATACGTATCTTTATTTTATGCTAATTCAGGAAGCTCAGGGCCCAGGAAGGTTGCACAGTGGCTGCTGTTTCCTAGGACTCCAGGTGTGTCTCAGCGCACCGTGAGTTCACAGCGTGCTGCTGCCTTAGTAGGCAAGTCTAACTTCTTTAATATTATTATAATATTATTACAATTAGAGTATTATTAGAGTTTTTACCCCAATATGCTTATTATATACGTAGACTTTACTCACTCACATACTCATATATTTATTTATTCAATACATATTATTGAGTGCCTACTTTCTTCCATCTTTGTTGCGTGAATTTGATTTTGCTGTAGAACAGACAATGATAAAATGGTAAATGACAGAAAATAAGTACAATGTGTACTAGGTTACAGATGTGGCTGAAGTTGTCATTTTTGAGGGCTGACAATAGTTGACAGAGTAGGACCATGGCCATCGGTCAAGTAGAGAAAGAACTATTGGATGAGATCATGAAGATAACAGTATAGGGCGCTGCAAGAGTTATCTTTATGTCTGTGGAAACCTACTCAGAGCAAGAAAATCTTTAACTCAGTAGAAAACCATGGTCTAACCATACATCAGGAAGCAGTGCCCCATCTTTGGGAGTTTTGAGTTAGAGTAAGTTGACCATTTAATAATGATGTTGTAGAAAGTTCTCTGGCATAAGAAAAATAGTGTGAAGAGAATACAATTAAGTTTATTTCTACCACGAGTCTCTTTAACTACTTGATAGAACAAGACGTAACAGTAACAGATTTTACAATTTTGATAATTAGATAAATGTAGCTCTTGAAGTACATTATTCTTCTGCAGGAAATTTCTAAAATACGAGGAGAGAAATGTGACTGAGTGCTAAGTAGTTAACTGGAAAGGTAAATTCAGTAATAGCTACACCAACCGTAGTTAAAAAAAAGCAAAATAAAGTAACTTGACCATTGTGCTGGGTCAATAATTCTTTTCTGAGTTCTAATTTCTCACAGTTAAATAAGTCAGGCAAGGAAGAAATTGTAAAAATTTATGATACACATTTCTTTCAAGAACAGGACTTTAGCTGTCTCATATTCATGCAAAAAGCTACGCTGATCTGTCTCATGAAACCAGCTGCCTCTGAGGGGACTGGATCTGATCATTTGAAATATAACAGATCAACTCTATTTTTGTTCCACTTTTCTCAACTAACTTACTACTCCATTTGCACAAATTTTATGCTCACCCTATAACGGTGACACTAGTAAATTCTAGCTTTTAAAATAAGTTTAAGAATTGAAATCAAGTATTTTCCACAACACTACTTACAGATACTCACCAAGTCTCTCGACATTTCCTCATTTTAGCCATCCACGTCCAAATTTTGCTCCTCGTCGCTGAACCAACTTTCATATTTTATCCACAGGAACCAAGAGAACCAGAGCGCTGAGGTCACTTTCATTCTCTTGGGCTTCTCAGAGTACCCGGAACTCCAGCTGCCCCTCTTCCTGGTGTTCCTGACCGTCTACACGGTCACGGTGCTGGGCAACCTGGGCGTGGTCCTGACCATCAAGCTCAGTCCCAGACTCCACGCCCCCATGTACTTCTTCCTCAGCCACTTGTCCTTTGCTGACTTCTGTTACTCTACAGTGGTTACACCCAAACTGCTGGAAAACTTGGTTGTAGAAGACAGAACCGTCTCCTTCACAGGATGCATCCTGCAGTTCTTCTTTGCCTGCATGTTTGTTGTGACGGAAACCTACATGTTGGCAGCAATGGCCTATGACCGATTTGTGGCCGTTTGTAGCCCTCTTCTCTACACGGCTGTGATGTCTCAGAAGCGCTGTTCCTTGTTGGTGGCTGCGTCATACTCTTGGAGTGTGGCTTGTTCC